CTATAATATATCCTAGACTGACAAATCATCTCCGTTCAGAATCGTTTTTCGTATACAATGATACCTATCATTGCATTCAAAATTTGAATTTCAAATCTAACCTACCCTAGTCAGAGGTCCACCCCACCACCTAATGTACAGCAGAGGGACATCCACTTACCCGCTTTTTTTTAATATTTCCTTTGCCTTGTAACGCCTGCGTATTTCATTGATAGATAATTCAATTTACTTTTGTGCTTGCGTCTAACCGCTAGGGTCCCCTGAATCGTGGTTATGGTAACTTAATAAAATAATTTATTATTATTGTTATTATAATAGTCACTTGTCATCAGTGTATGTGCGTATGTTTGGTAAACTAATTTCTGATCAACAGTTCGCCAGGTGCATCTCCATTCTCTGAACTGACAAAAGGGCAAAAAAAAAGAGATTGGATTTATTGTATACATAATATATCAACCTATTTATTTGTATGTTTATAACTTTCAGAACCAGGGTATCGAGATCGGAGATTATGATTTAAGTATTGTATTTATACCTATGATGAGGACTCACAAAACCTGATAAATTGTTATCGCACTAGCAGTTTCCCAAGTGACAGATTCAACACGGCCATATTATTATACATATTTAATTTCAACATTAATTAAGTAGATATAATATAATATTATATATAATATTACGTCATATAGCCCAATGATGATTTATTTTCGTAATACGATATTTTTTCGTCTTCTTCAATATCGACACTTCGATGAAGTTTGATCGAAAACGAATGTTTACTATTACCAGCTGCAGTTCACTGTTATAAATGAAATTAATTATATTATAGCGCCATTTAAATTGTTCCATTAGTGCTATTTAGAGTTACAAACAAACAACTTCGAAAATTGTGATAATATAATAAAAATAAATTTGCACAAAGAAAACAGCAGAGCCATAATCACACCAGGTATAAATGGCATTATAAAAAAAAAAAAATAGTTTTTTACTTTTTTGATATTACAAATAAGGAGTGTAGGTGATAGGAAGAATATTAATTAGTAATGCAAGATACGTATAATATTCTACATTTTCAGTGTTTTTATATTGTTAGGTTTATAAATTGTTACAAAATGATGATGAAAAGACAGTAAACTCAACGTTYTCAACACAATCCTCGGTAGTATAGTGGTAAGTATCCCCGCCTGTCACGCGGGAGACCGGGGTTCGATTCCCCGCCGGGGAGAAAGACTTTTTTGCACTTTTTTTAAATATTTTATTATATATTTTCTTGCACGATATTATTATCACTTTTAATGTTTATGTTTCTATTAATAGTAACTGGATATACCAGACATGTCCAAGTACCGATTATCACCATTATCGCTCATTTTTTTGTTTTTAATATTATTTGCTACTTATATATTCAATATAGATTATATGTCACTTTAGTACAGTAAAAGGTACCTATTAATAAATCAGTTATAACATTTATATTATGCTTTATTTTAATTATGTATATTTATTTGTAGGAAATTAAAAGTCCGCTCTAAGAATAAACACAAAGTATGTAAGCACTTAATAATAAATCAACACAATWAAATTAATCAATTAAATAGGGGCAAGTCTAAAAACTAATACTTTCARAAAATTAAATAAACTATACTAGAACTTTTTATTATTCAAACTTCAAACACAAACTAAATTTTTAAATATTTTTCATAAACAAACTCAATCAACTATACGTTTGTACTTACTCGTAAAGTCGTAACTATTTGCACAACATATCTATAGCCACAGAGCATATTTTTAAAATATGCAATGGTTTATTATTTAATTAAAATGTAGTGCATCAATTACAGTGACCTTGAGTGACCTACTCAATGACAGGGTATAATCGTTATTAATTTGATATTTAAAAAATAAATATCATGAGTGCTGTTATCGACATTTTAGCTATAATACTTATTGTTGTAAACAACAGTAATTTTATTAAAAAAATATTTTTAGAAACATGATTTTGTCACTTTACCTCAAAAGATAAATAAAATACTTAATCATAAGAAATTATTTCAAAAAACTTGAAAATCTAAAACAAAGTTATTCTCACAAGACGATCTCATGGTATTCTAAAAATATGGTTAGTATGTAGTAAAAAATTACCATTTTAGTATTAGTTATAACTCAAGAAAATTAATCATAGACACTTTTTGAAACTTTTTTCATCTTCAGATAGATGTATCTTGATGTATCAGTATTTTATATAAGTATACACACTTTGAAATGTTGAAAATATTTAGACCAATTCGAAAGTATTTAAACCAGGGTCCTATTCATCTTATAAACATAAAATATTCTTTAAAATACACATTGACAGACCTCATAATTGTATTAAAATTTAATAAACCCAAAACAGACTACAGTGACCTTTTGAATATTTTTGTACAAATGCTCTTACTAAAGTGATGTACTTTTTTCTTTTTAAATGTTGTTATAATATATATTTTTGATAATAATGTACGTTAAAACCAATAAAACCTCTTTAGCACGTCTTTAGCGCGAATATATTGTTATCGATATAATTCTAGGAAGGCTGCAGGAACGAAAGTCGTGTTTTATCATTAAGTTGTTATAAATTAATAATAAATTAAGCTATACAGTGTATATTAAATGTACGATAAAATAACAAACCAGCAATTTATACTTTGGAGAAAAAATTAAATTGCGAAAATTATTTTTAAAAAATTATAAGTGGTTGAGTAAAATTTTTCCGAAGATAACTGTCCTTCCCATTTTCGCTCCTGCTAATTTCTATGGTAATTGGTAAGACATAATACATTTATTTTATTTTGTAAAAATGAGAACAAAAAAAGCGTATAAAAACACCTCAAAGGTAACCTAACCATGTTGTTCACGCTTCATCGTACGATCGATTTACAGGTAAAAAGGCATATACAATAATTATTGATTACGATAATCATAATAATATATTATACAGGCGTGTACAGTACTGATTATTATCCGTATTCCGTACCTATTTTTTTCCGTAAATAAATCAATTAATATTATAGATAATTAATGCGACATACATACGCGTACCCTATATATTATACGATGAAATCAGTGCCGCATGTTTATACGCATCACGGATTAAAATTCTCGTATTCTATATTCTCACAGCGTCTCGTTTCATTCGTTGTATCAATATATATAAAAATATATTATATAGATATATTATGTTCGTGTCGCGAGTGTTAAAATGCCGAAAACATCGAACAATAGTCGTATATATTATTAATTATTATATACCTACAACACGTAATCTGTAGTTTGGAGAAAACATTTTTTTTTCTTGCAGATACGACAATGTTATTTCATTAATCTATACGAACTGTGTCAGCTGCGCATAATCACGTCGAGCGACATTTATTTTGAAAATGGAGAAACGTCATAAATGAACGACTTAAAACTTTTTAATTTTTTAACAATGAAACTATATCGATTTAGACACTATCGGACGTTATCTATACTGATTTGACTTTTGAAACAGTAATCCAATCGTGCTCTATATATTATATACATGTAATTTATATAATTATGAATGGGTTTATATCGAGTGACAATGACTCAACGTTTTTCCAAGTACCTGGCGAAAAGGCCAAAGGCTATAATATTATAATAATAGACGTGTAAATGTGTTGTAATAGTTATTATGTATAATAATATAAACTATAAACATAAGTGGTATTTAAACAGCAAGGCGCAAGGGGATGATATTATTGTCTCTTGATATTCGGAGGACCGGAGAGGAACAACGATGGGTTTTGCCCTCTAAACACATACAATTACAGATTATGAGGTGGAAAAAGAAAAATTAACTGTTCAATAACAGTGTGCCAAACTGGAATTTAGATTAGCTACTATGTTAGCAGAATAATTGTTTAAATTATTTATATTTTTAACTATAATAATGATTTTAAAATTTTCATAATTTTGACGATTCTTTTTAACATTACTTGGACATTTTGTTTTACACCCACTCAAAGTACCAACTATAAGTACAATTTTCTGCTAGATACTAGATAAAAACCMCCTTAGCAGATGAAAATCAATTCATCAAGTATAAAAGACAATTAAAAAGAGGAAAACATTTTTTTTTTTTTAAATCACGAATCATTATAAAAGTCTAACATCAATCCTTACCTACCAATCCTAGCCTCCCCCCAGAACCAAAATTCAATGGTGAATTAATATTAAAAACGAACGTAACGTATAACTATATTGGCTAGATTAAAGAACAGATGTATAGCTACATATAGTATAGTACCTATATAACATAGTAATTTTCTATTTAAATATTAAGCAAGCATCATGTAGAATTAGGTATTATTATGTTTTTATTGAATAAACCTTGAGAGTACCTATATACTATAATGGGTAGTCTATGCGGTTATTATGGCGCACATTTCGGTAATGCGTTCATTAATACTATAATTCATTTTCAATTTAACCTGCACTCTGCAGCAGCACTTATCATATTATGTTTACATTTTGCGTTTTATCAAAAAATAAATAAATAAATTTTCATTCTTTGTTAACAATGTTTGATGGTTCTTAATATTGACAACATTATATATACATCATAGTATTCAGTAGGTACCACATTATCATTCGCACGCAGCAAGACTTTCACGACTGTTGCTCGTCCAGTGGCTCCACCTGTCGGCACGGCAACGAGTGTAACGCCCCGGTGAAATGCGTCCCGGCGTATATAAGACAATAAATTGACGCGCCGCAGCCAAGTGTGAAACCGAGTCTTGTTCCGCCCGTCACTGTTGCGGATAGTCGTGTACGTTGAGAGACAACCAGAAAAATATCAAATTTTTATATTTCATTGGTAGCACTATAGTTATTTTATCGTTTAATTAGTATCTGTCCGGCAACCCACAAACATACGCACGCGGTCGTGTGCAGTTTGTTTGTCCGAAGGTGCTTGTGCGCTCGCATCAGTCTGTCACGAGGACTACCATGTCAATCTCACTCAGGCTCCTGGCGATCGCATGTCTGATCACATTGGGTAAGTAACTAAAGTTTAACCATTTCAGTGTGTCAAACACAAATTATTAAATAGATTATATTATTATATATCTATACACTATCAATATTGTAAAATACTACCATCATTCGGTATTGGCGATCTTTCCGCTGAATTCGTTCATTAAACATCATAATAATATTTTACACTGCAGGTATTGAACATTGCAGGTCAAATATTTCTTGGAAAAAAATCACTTAAGTCTCTCATTAACCCGATGTTAGGACGTTTTGTTATGTGTCGGGTGCCATAGATAATAAGAATGGTACAATCTTTGTTGAGGATTTTTTGAAAATAATAACACTCAGCAGTGCCGTATAAAAGGATGTACACAACTGCGTTTTTGAAAGGCATGTGCACTGCTGAAATATAGGGTTTTTTTTTTCTCAAACGTTGAAACACGGCTGTTCCTTCTATTTATGATTATAAAAAAGATATATTTGTAATTAAATTAGTTATACTTATTTCTAAGAGATATAATATGTGCTATGTTCATAATATTATTATTTATTATTTTATATCATTTTTAATATTATAAAATGCTTAAAAAAATGATTATAATAAATCATTTAAACGCTCGRAAGAGAGTTTATTTTTAATTTTTAATCTTTATTCACTACCTATTTTACTTTATAATTGCGTTACAGTACTAAGTACAATTAGTTATAAGAAAATTAAAAATTTCTTATAAGCTCTCAGACAATAATCTTTATTGATATTCTAGTTGCAACTTGTATTACCTACCAACCTATCTTAACATACATATGTGTGTGCGCAATACTTGAAAACTTAGTCAACGATTAATCATTTTTATGTTCACATGCAACAACAATGATTTCTCGTCTATATTATAGCTATAGCCACATGTAATTAAGAAGTTCAAATGACATACAATATGTAGGTATAATGTTGTTATTACCAAGATACACACACAAATACGAAAACTATGTAGATTGCAAATAGTTGAATCATAATACGATGACACGGATAACGCAATAATAGAAATTACTTAACTGTACAACAAGAAATATACGTAGGCATATAATTATACCTAAATATTAAAAAAAACAAATGGCTGTCTATATTAGTTCAACGAGTAGGTATATACCATATATAGTGGCGTTTACTTATATAAGCATGTAAGTGTGTGTATGTGTGTTCGTCCATCGAGTTCCTATATTATATAGTCTAAACGTATGTCATCGCCTCACTAGACGTATACTACATAGTTTATGACAAAAATGTGTGTTGCGATCTTAACACTATATTATATTATTATATTATTTGTCATATATATTGCTCTCGCGTGACAGTATAGGTACCTATATAATATGTACTAGCTGATAGATAATAATAATAATGATCCGTGGGCGACAACCGTGTCTACAGAGATGATTTCACTTGAATTCCCATGGTAAAATAGGTGTGCACACAGGAATACGATTATCGCGATACCCGAATATTACCCCGCGTAGGTTTTAGTCACTTTTCTTTGGATCAGCGTGTGGTTTTTCATTATACGTCAAAAGCGCATATTATTAGCAACCCCACACGAACAATCGACGACACGGTAAATATTTATATTATACTGTGATGTAAAGTGTCCCTGATTGACTCTGCTCCTACTTCACGCCCAATGCCATCGAAACGAAACAAAATATATTTTTCGTCAAAGATTTTCGCGATTTAGCTAGGTACCAAACGATCCGCGGTGTTTTGCAAATTTATAATTTTTTAAATGGCTCCGTGTATAATAATATATCATACCGCCATCGCCAACTTGTTTTATTTATATCACTCGTTCTATCAGTCGTTTATTGGGGCACGAACTCGTGGTAATCGTTTACATATTATACCGTCAACATTGGATGGTCGTTTTAATTATTTCATCTCTTCGTCGGGTCACACAATAACACGTACAATAATATTATGCCCATGTGAGGAAAGGGTCCTTGCACAAGCGTTCGCCGACCAAACTGTCACGTCGTCGATCACACGCGTATTATTATAATTGGTATACTTACATATTATTATTATAATAGAAAGCAGAACGAACCCGTAGTAGAGCTTTCCCCCCCCCTCTACGCAGTCCTCGTCCACGCTTCCTTCCTTCTGTCCTGTCCGKTGATAAATTTACATTATTATTAAAAAAGGACCACGTGCAAAATAATGTATACATCATATATATATGTGCCTACCTCGTGTGTCGGTAGACTCGACGCGGGCGCGCGTGCCGTTTTCAAATTTTGTCCGACCTGGTCTCGAGTGTGAAAGTGGAATACATTATAATATCGTATAGTGCAATATAAAAACACCGTATATTATATTATACCTATACGGCATAATTTGTGATCCACACGTAGGTACGACTGCAGTGCAATGGCCGGCATAGGTATAGGTTAGGGTAGAATATATAGTGGTATGTACAAGGTAACACGGTACCTATACGTTAACCGTGTTGTCGTAGTTAATAATATTAAATATATATGACACTTGCTAGTTAACGAGGTCGTAACGTTCCAAGTTCATCAACACATTACCTACGCGATCGAACCGACACCGGAAGGCATATTATCATATTATATTATACGACATGCATTTATGAAACGATTCGAAAACCATTCATGTACCAATCTCCATACATTCCGAATAGTTCCGACCCGCCGGACAGTTAACGATCATAATATTATAAACAAATTCGTTTGAAATGTCCGAACTCACCATTTGCCTACCCTTAGTAAAAGCTACTTGTTAATCCACGTCGGGCTGCAAAACGTATATATCTACCTATACCGGCTAAACTGCACATAATATATTTTAATTGATATAGATAACGTATTACAGACACGAACCACTGATCTGACACGCAGCAGTCGTTCTTCTCGAAAGTTTATTATTATTATTACGCTCGTCGGTGTTTTCGATTCGAAGATTGCATTATGAAATATTAGCCTCGCTAAACGAGAAAAATAACTGTTGGAAACGAGGTAACGCGTCAACGGGTAAACAGACATAGGTGCCTACTATCTTAGTTTATTTAAGATCCATCTTGTTTTCGTGCAACGCGCAAATATAGTTATATGACTTCTGAATTATTTATCGTCGATTTAAAATTTATGTCCACGACTCTCACGCGGTAGTTTTGGTAGTGAGGCAATGCTGCATTTTCCACGACATGATATTTTAAACATAACATTATTACGTTATTAATTGTACAATAAAATACGTATTAATATGTATTTAAAAATGTGTTTATAATTGACAGTTGAGTACAATTATTACTCATTATAATAATAATCAAAGCGAAAATATTTTTAGTAGTTTTATACAAAATAAATCAAGTTAAATATACACTAAATGTTAATAATAATATTGAMAATATATTAAATTGAAAATATTTTTGGGAACCTATTAACTGATTATTGATCATTATGATTAGATATAGGTAATGATTTATAACGTTGGAATATTTTTACACCTTAACACTCGTTGATAATGTCAAAGTATGATATTTAAAAACATGATTTAATGATTATAACCTAATGCAACCATACAATTATTTAAATCGTAAAATTAAGCATTGAACGTTAAAGGTTATCTATAGGTATCTATTTTTAAATAATTTTTTTCTATTTCTTAATTAATATTAAATAACATAAAATTACTAAAATGTAATGTTCATACTGAATTCATTAGGTAGGTATATCTATAAAAGTTTGGAGTAGGTTGTTTTGTAAGGAGTTTTAATAGCAACTATTTATTTACTAAATATCGCAGTACATATAAAATGCATTTATTATGCAATTTTTAAATTAATTAATTAGTATTCATAAACCATTACATTCAAATTTACAATTATGGGTTATCCACATACCTACTATAGTATATAATTTAATCATCAATAATATCATAAAATATCTTCAAATTATAAGACTTTCATAATTATGTAAGTAATCTAGTAGTTTTATAATATGAAAAAAAAATGTAAAATAATTATTAGGTATACTTTCTGYATAATGTGATGTAGCTAAGATTAATAAAAGTTTTATAWTATAAAACAAGGAACAAGATATATATTTGGGTTTAATAAAAAATGTTTATCTGTAATACCTAATATTACTTCATTTTATGAGTTAATGAAACATATAACTCATACTGTTCTAAATATTTAGTTTCTTTTGATTTTTTGATAAGTTAGACACTWGTTAGAAAATACTATACTATTGTTTTAACTAATTGGCAAATTCATTATTTTTCCACAGGATCTTGTGATTCGTTATTATCACGAATTAAACGTCAACAAGCGTCAACAAGTGAACCGAAAAAAGAGGAGAGTTTTGAGATCGAAATATGTAAAGACAAAGACGCAGGAGAATGGTTTCGGTTAACAGCACAAGATGGTGACAGTTGCCGTGATGTCATCCAGTGCACATCATCGGTAAGTAAAATGCAATGTAATTATTTTTTCATAAACATTAGACTTGAATCCATTGAATTTATACAAACAACATTTTTATTAAATTCGTAAAAAGTCCAAAAAAACATAGTTATATTACAGTTTCAGTAGTTTTAGTTATCCACACCTTTAATTAAACATTTATAGATACCTAGTTTAGTAGTTATAATAAAAACTTAACCCGTACAAACTGAATGTTGATTAGGTATATACAATAACCTATAATACTTAGTTTTTAATTAATTACCTACCATTTTTGATAATAATTATAGAATTTAACATGTTGTATTATATGAAGCAAATATTTAATATTTTTGTTCAGTGTTTGCGTAATTTATATTTTTTTTCATTACAATTACATCTGTTTCTTGATTCTTGCAAAAATTCAATTTATGGGGTATAATACTAAAAGTGATTGAGAAAGTAAACAATATAATATTTAATGCCTATATATCTATATAATATTATAATGGTTAACGTAATACAGTTTAAATCTATCCGATATTTAATAGACAAATAAAATAAATTTCCTATTTTAAATGTTATTGGATTACCAACTATTGATTTGATGTATCTACTGATTATCTATTTATCGAAAACTTATACCGTTCAATAAAAAAGAAAATAAATACGTGAGACGGTAAAATACATCAGAAAGTTTGCGGTAATTCGATATTACGACTAGTCGCAACCCTTTATAAATAATAAATCSTAAATCATGGAATGTTCATTTTTAMGGATTCCTGAAAAATAATATTAAAACAATGAGTTTTTACATTTTACAGGGATTGCAAGCCATTCGTTGTCCTGCCGGTTTGTATTTCGATATAGAAAAACAAACATGTGACTGGAAGGCCGCAGTGAAGAATTGCAAGTTGAAGAATAAAGAACGTAAAGTCAAACCTTTATTGTTCACAGACGAACCATTGTGTCAGGTATAAGATAAAGGATTATTTTTTGTATAGATTTGTAGTGATTATAATATCATTGTTGTACGCATGCGATTTACGATTACATATTATTACAGATAATGATGATTCATTAGATAATGATAATGCAAACTATTATTTCAGTTCTGCATTGATGTTGAAGGTCTTTCAGTGATAAATCCTTAAGTTGTTTTTTAACTTGGTTTTCAGAGTTCAAATTAAATCTAGACACATTTCATAATGACACATTACTAATATTAGACACGCACAGCTAAATATCAATGAAAATGTGTACATACATTTCAACAACGATTAATAGATAGTATAGTTTGAACTCTTTTTTGAATATTATTTATATTTATTTTAGATTAAAAAAAGGCTGAAATATCTGCATGAGAAATATTTCCAAAAAATATCTTCTTAAAATTTCAAAAGTTTGACTATTTAAAAAAATGATACCTAATAATTTATTTAAATGGACATTTTCGGAAGTTTTTCCGGTATTTATCAACACTTGCTGAAAAATACACAGGAGTAGAGAAATTTACACCAAGCTGTTTTAAACTTTTAATACATTGCACTTAAGTTGTATTTTTGCAATATAGAAAATAACAATCTTTGTGATTTAACATATTTATCGATTTATTTAAAATTTTAATGAAATAACAAGGATTTTGAAAATATTTTATCACGTGGTTTCTAAAAACATATACTACATATTTCATTAAAATATTTACTTTTTGATAATCGAATAAAATGATTATTTTATTTGCATATATTTTATTTATATACACTTACGTACAATATATGTACACACATTTTAATATACATTTATATTTCACATTACTATAGGACGGAGAATTGTCTTGTGGTGATAAGTCTTGTATTGAACGAGGACTATTTTGTAATGGTGAAAAGAATTGCCCTGATGGTTCAGATGAAAATTCGTGTGGTTCGTATGAATTAAATTAATAATTAATATTACACGAAATGAGTTWCCTGTAAAATCATAATTGATTTCAAGTTGGAAAATAATAATTAWTGTATGTTATATTATGATTTATTTAATAAAAATARTGTATKAGGTATATCATACTTTATAGATATACCTATAGGTTTATTAAGTCTTGTGGTTTTATCATTGGCTTTCACTACTGAACATTATTTTAGACCCTAAACAATTTTAAATAGTTTATTTATAGTTTAATAAAACTAAAAATAAAGCAACTTATTTCAAGTTTTTAAAACATAAATTTCCACCTGACATTACAAACACTTATGATTAATAAAATATATTTATCTCAACGAATTATACCCAAATCATAGAAGTCGGAAAATGTTTTGTACATAACATAAGTTATCCATCCTTAGGTAGTAAGTTGAGGGAATATATTATTTTGTTTACATATTTAAATATTTAATTGTTTCCCAATTTATTATTTGAATAGTAACCTAACTTTATTAGTTATACTACAATAATTTTTTACTGGTGTAAGAACTTGATAAACCTAATTAGTAAATACGACAATGATTTATCTCACACATTTATGATATTAGATTTTACGCTAGCTTATTTTTCTGACAATCATATTTTAAGTTTTAAATTTTTCACAGAATGTGAAATTATCTATGTTTTAAACATAAAAAAATACTGATTGTCTGAGACAGTTGAAAAAAATGTACAATTATTTTAGATATGAACTTAATTAAAAATGTTATCAATGCCTAACCATAATAATATTCCAATATAATATTATAGCGTTATATTAAACTCGCTTTTTTATTTTACATAAAATTATAATATGTATATTGTATATACCTAATACAACACGGTATGATTAATATTATATCGCAGCCTTGCTGTGAATTCGAAAATTGATACACGGCTCAATAATGGACGGCAGTAATTATTTATTTATATTTAATTATTATTTTTTTCTACAGATAACGATAATGATCCTAATCGCGCACCGCCTTGCGATCCTGCCGTGTGCGTTTTACCCGACTGCTTCTGCTCCGAAGACGGCACCGGAATACCAAACGACTTGCCGGCCAAAGAAGTCCCTCAGATGATTACGATCACTTTTGACGATGCCATCAACAACAATAACATCGAACTGTACAAGGAAATATTCAATGGCAAACGCAGAAATCCCAACGGGTGTGACATCAAAGCTACGTTCTTCGTGTCGCACAAGTACACCAATTACTCGGCGGTGCAAGAAACCCACAGGAAAGGCCACGAAATCGCAGTGCACTCGATAACGTACGTACCTAACCTAATGCCTATTTTTGAAATAAAACATAATACCAGCGTCGTGTCATTATACATTCGTCCGAATCGAACGAACGTGTTTCTATTCCGGTTAAATAATATTGCGTAATACATGCTGCGAATAAGTCCATATAGAAACAAAACATAATAATAATAACATTAATATTATATATTATATGAAATACCTACAACATGGATAGGTACCTAATAATCTAATAAGATTCTTTCAAACATTCGTACTTATGTTTTTTAACCAAATATTAAGGTTCAAATGATTGTTTCATATGTATACCTATTATAAGATTTGGAATGAGTGTATTAATTTTCTTTTTCAGTAGAATATATTTTTATAATATTGTATTATCTCTACCGGACTAATATAATAACTATAATAACAACATCCGATACAATATTTTACGCGATAGCAGTGTTGTTAATATTTTTGAATAGTCGTGAAAGTAAATACCTACTATAAAAGATAAACTGGAAAGTACAAAACCGTAAGTAATAGTCCGGTAGGTTAGGTACCTAACCATAATTAATGCAACTAAAGAGAATGGAATTGATACGATGAAAAATYGTTATTTTTAAAAATAATTATAATAATTCCAAATTTCCAACACGAATAATAGGCAAAATTAATTAAAATATTATATTATATATTATTATGTATCGATGAAATGAAGTATCATCATTTTATTTATAATACATTTTTTATCAGCGASTAAAATTCCAGATTTGAATTAGKGAGTTTTTAATAATAAAGTATCGTWCGTATTATAATTATTGTATAATACACTATTATAAGTATAACCTCATGTMATTTGCATTTAATTGAGTAGGATGTGTTGCGTGGCCGAGGACGATACCTGCAGTCWCAATATTCAAATGTTTTTATGAAATTTCGATTAAAATACCGATGAAATTCACTTTTTTTTTAAATTTAATTTACGACAAAATATGTTCACAAGGACACCTTCTTGCCAGCAGTTCCAGTTGCGTAATCCAAGTGCACGAGAAATTATTATATTATATACCTATAATACTGATAATATGTAATAGCATTCCGATCAATGTGTTTGCYGGTCGCAAGAATGCCGAGAAAATATAGTATCCGTTTGCATATTGAAATAATACTGACKGTAATGTGTTCGTATGAAAACCGGTATAAACATGTCAGACAAGTTCTTTTTAGCAGTCTATTTTCTCATTTCTGCTAATCCAATGTTAATGGTTCGGACGTAAGTGTCAAAAAAAAAAATATATATATATATTATAATATATTTATATGTATATTTATGTATATCTTCCATTTGATGCTATAAACTTGTATTCTTAAAACCTGTACGACTTGGACGCGAGGAATGTATTGCACAAGTGCATAACACATCCAAGAGGATCTATTCGTTTCAGATTTTTAACTAGGCGACATCCTTCAACGGTTTAGAGTAATAACATTTAMATTTTTTTCTCTTTCCGCGAAATCAACACGATTTATTACGCACATTTTTCGGTTTTCGTGTAAGTTACATTAAACACTATCTAATTTTTCCTGACGCGTAGGTAATTTTTAATAAATAAATAAATAAATTTTAATAAAATGTAGGTATCTTTACATCTATTATTACTACATATTACTATTAAATTCAAAAGCATGCATAAACTATATTTGAAATTTGTTTGTATAAACTAGTTTGAATCCGAATTGGATACTAAGTCAAAAGAATTTGATCTTTCGGAGATTAGATTTAAAATTAATTATCATATTAGTATGGTTTATTTATACATCTAAGAGTCCCAAACTGTACTTAAGATGTCATTACACTTCATAATATATTATAAGACATAGGTACAACTACTATATTACAATAGTACAACTACTATTCATGTCACATTATATTGCGTTAATATGTTGAGACACTATTTTTAATGATTATTGTAATTTTTATAATTATGATTGAAATTATCATTTTAAAGTATCTATAACCTTTCGCCTGTAGACAATCTACTTCTTCATTTTGTATTTTAATTAAAAATTTTTTCCGTCGAATATCTTATWCGGAAGGTATATTACAACCCTAATATAATAATAACTTAATGACGTATAGGTACAATCAAATATACTCGTATAATAAACCTTGATTACYGCAGGCTATTGATCGATCAATCAACCTGAAGTCAATATCATTATAGAATAGATATTCATCCATTTTTTTTAAGTAGAGACTTTAAGTAACATGGAAATACATAGACAACAACACGTGACACTTTTCAAGGTTACAATAATTCGTATAATATAATTTTCACTATCAAAAAAAATTTTAAAAAAAACAGCAAAAGTAATTTTAGATTATAAATACCTACTTTGAAACATAAATAATAATTATTAGTACCTGTTATTTTAGTTATTTTATTGTTTTTTTGAAAAATAATTATAATTGAAACACTAATTTATACAATGACATTTTCACAGTATTATTTTTATTCAAATTATTTAAAAGTATATAATTACTATAAAATTCTGTATAGACTAATTTCTATTTTTTTTAGACTAATGGTTTATATTGTTCTATATTTATTGATAAATTAGTGAACATTACATCTAAAATCTATACTAAATATTTAAAGATTAATTACAAAAAAATCTAGTATTTAAAACATTAATATATAATGAGTTTTGCCATCTACAAATTTACTAAAAAAAAAAAAAATACATTTGGTGAAAGACGGAAGATCGAGGTTTATTAGGTCACTGACATAATAAGCAAAATGCAAAGTATAATAAGTAACTTTTATTTTCATTGATCACGTCATAACTTGTTAATTTGTGGTTATACTGGTTTTGTGGTCGAAGCGTCATAAAATTTATCGCTAAACAAAAAAACATAATTTAAAATTTAAAAACGTCTTACTTATAGCTAGGTAAGGTTAGGTTATAAAAATTTGAAGTATTTTTTGAAATAATACTGAAACTAAACTTGGCTGCAATTTCAACTGGTTTTATTTGGCACTAAAATTCTAGACCTGTCTATATCAACAAACTAATCGATCAGATTCAAGTTTTGTGTTGGTTATAAGTTTATAACAATCAAAATCATGTTTTTTTATATTTTTTAATTATAATTATAGTAAAATGATAACATTTTTACCCAGATCCCCGTAGCAATGTCCCAACGAATCAGTGATAGTTCCTGCTCACGGAGCTACTGATTGGACTTATACGCTTTTATTTTAGTGTGGATACAAATCGGATTTTCCTGCTCTCGTCCCCTGAGTCGGCTGAGTCTGACGTATATAATATTTTATATGAAGTGCAAAATGAGATATCGTCTTTAACGATCGTTTTATTGGCGTGTTACAGGCACAACGACGACGAACAGTTCTGGAGCAACGCCACCGTCGAGGACTGGGCCAAGGAAATGGCTGGTATGCGCATTATCACCGAAAAATACGCTAATCTGACAGACAACAGCGTTGTCGGTTTAAGATCRCCTTATTTGCGCGTAGGCGGCAACAACCAATTTACCATGATGGAGGAACAGGCTTTTTTGTACGATTCATCGATCACTGCACCACTGTCCAATCCGCCGCTCTGGCCGTACACCATGTACTTCCGCATGCCCCACAGGTGAGATGTGTACACAATAATAATATTATATATAGTGGATATCTATTGCCGTTATTGTTGTAGTCGTCAGGTGATATTTTCTTTTATCACTGCTGTCGACCAAACTCTATGACATTAATAAATAGCATTATTATTATTATTCTCGTCTATCGGACTCGAAAAGACCTCAACAGATAGTGGAAAAGAAATGTATTCAAACAACATAATGTTATAATGTTCGATTTTGGTAGTTTCTAGGTGTAGTTGTTCGAGTGGCTTTTATTTTGTATTTATAGGGGCTCGGGACACTTACGACTTTCAATTTCAATTTATTTGGGWTGTCTTCGTGACCGAGGAAGTGGGGTCTATGATTTAAGGGCTATGTCGATTTAAAGTATTCTACCTACACAGGATCCAAGCACGCTTATTATATTATATTGTCTTAAATTCCACAAGCTCGTGATGGCTACAAGTGGTGTATTATTTATATTACGCATATACGCTTATATTATATGAAGATTCGTAGCAACTCATCGTTACTTCTAATAAAATCTTCATATTATTATTGCTGATTACTGATTAGGCATACCTACTTACATCTGAGCTTATTCTGTGTTCGATAAATTCGTAAAAAACTCAGCTTGATAAATTTGATTTATTATAATCTCATAAACAGTCAACAAGTAACAAATATATATCATGATCCATAATATTAACATTCAGACGCTTAAAATAGTATTATTGGAACTATAAATAACATAGTTAAGCCATCATGATCAACTTTTAGTTTTCTATTGATATTGTGTAACATAATGTTATTTAAATACAAACTCGCTTTCCGAATACACATACAAGATTCGGCTTATTAGATTATCGGGATTTAGAACAATCTATATTTCAGTTTAGGTAGTAGGAAGCAGAATGGAATGTTAAATTTCTAGTCAACTATAGGTACTWTAGATTATAATGCAAGTGTACAAGATGTTATTCAATCAGCGAAAGTTGTCTAGATTCAAGGACTAGCGGGCGTATTCTTTATATGGTTTTAAAACAACTCTWTATAATAACATACCTAACATTTTATTTTTTTATGAATGAATAAATATTTAGATTAGATTTTTTTTTYCATTCGAGTATTTTTTGACTATTTGAAATCTTTATTAAATATCAATCAATACAATCTATTATAAAATGTTAAACGATCATATTTTTAAGGTTATGACTCCATTACAATTTACAATACTATAGTTGGCTGTTATTACGATTATTTTTTAACAGTTCGATGTATAAAAAAGAAAGCGCATTAATATTATAGTTTTTCCTTGCCGAATCAGTCTTATTCACAGCCAAATTGTATTTGATTCTCATAGATGTCACGGAAACTTGCAACACTGTCCGACTCGTAGCCACGCTGTATGGGAAATGGTGATGAACGAACTAGACAGAAGAGAAGACCCTAGCTTTGACGAATACTTGCCCGGTTGCGCCATGGTAGACTCATGTTCCAACATCCTGTCCGGCGATCAGTTCTACAACTTTTTGAACCACAACTTCGACCGGCATTATGATCAAAATCGCGCACCCATGGGTCTGTACTTCCACGCCGCCTGGCTGAAGAACAATCCCGAATACTTAGACGCGTTCCTGTTCTGGATTGATGAAGTACTGGCCAACCACAATGACGTGTACTTCGTAACCATGACGCAGGTAATCCAATGGATCCAAAAACCAAGGATCATCAACGAGGTAAAGAACTTCGAACCATGGAGGGAAAAGTGTGTGGTCGAAGGGCCACCAGCCTGTTGGGTACCGCATTCGTGCAAGCTGACCAGCAAAGAGGTTCCCGGGGAGACCATCAACTTGCAAACGTGCGTCAGGTGCCCCAACAACTATCCGTGGCTCAACGACCCCACCGGAGACGGTTTCTTCTAAGTCACACGCACATTGTTCCCCGATCTCACACACCCACACTCATTAATCGAATTTTTTTTACAATCCAATATAATATATATATTATTTTTTTTTGAATTTTTATTATTACTTTTATTTTTATTTTACTTATTATTCTTTTTTTTTTTGTTTTTTTTTTTATCTGGATGTCGAGACAATGCATCTCCCGTTATAAAAAAAATTATTTAATCAACAAATTTCTATAGGTTCATTATGTGTATCGGGTTTCTCAATTAACTGTGATTGTTGTTGTTTACGACGTCACCGCCGCCGTCGTTCATAACACACTACATCGCCAGCATTATGCGGTGGCATAATGCGTGTTACTTATTTTATATTGTAATAATCGTCGAACATCGATATTAATTAATTTTTTTTTACTTTGATTTTAAGAACTTTTTCCAAGAAAAAAGAACAGTTAGGTACTTTTGTAAAAATTAATGAAACGTTGTATCTATAGATAGTAAATAAATTATATTAATATTTAATTGTTTCGTGATTTTTTTATGCAAAACTATGATTATTCTGTTTTCATTCCATAGACATCTTAATTACAAATTACATGAAATAATGCAGGTAAGTCTAAGTATCCTACAACTTGGCGTCTTTATAAGCATATAATTATATTAGATATATGACATGCTAGTAGACTACATGCAGCCATGCAGGTATGTAATCACATAATACAGATAATATGCACGAATTAAGACAACTAAAAGAGCCTCAAATCTCAAAAATATTTAAAAGCTTTAAGTATACATAACGTTTTTAAATAATTTCAATACCTTAACTTTTTTCTTTCTTTTACTTTTTTCTCGTTTTTTAAATTACCTATATGCGTATCTATTATATTGATTCATGATCATGAATCATGGTTTTGAATAAGTGTAATATGATATATTTTTATCGAAAAGAACAAAAACCATTCTCTTTTTCGAAATCGATATTGTATTTTAGCACACGTGTTTAGTTTTTTTAGTTAAACTCATCGGGATTCACAGCGAAATGTTACTAACAATCGACAATAAAAGTGTTATTAAATCAATTGTCTTTGGAGTATCATGTCCTAAAAACAATCGTATATACCCTCGTCCAGTGTATAATATAAAACAATGCATCATATATGCAACATTCCTAATTATTCAAAGGGTAATTATTAGTTTTCTTTCTCGATAACAGCACAATCGACACATAATATGCATAAAAACACACTTAAACGTCATGGGTAATTTAGATTCATTTGCAGTCGATCGAAAATATTGTTTATTGTTCATAATTGYCCTATGKGAGTATTCTCGGCCAATATCGGAAGCGTTGGTTAAAGATTAATATTATATATAGGTATAAATATTTCTTGTGACATGTGATGTACACGTCTAAATAATATAATATATTATTATATTGTTACGTGGCATAATGTACATGTATTACCTATATTGTTTTATCACGCGTAGCCTTGAAGTGTGAGGACTTTTTTTCGACGATGACGGGAAGCGTGCGACAATATATTCCGAAGTGAAAATCAAAACATTAATATTAAAAAAAATTTGTCATACATTTAATTAGTAAAATTTTTTTTTCTTTTGATCTTTCTGAGACACCTGTATATATAAAGTTATCATACGATAAAAAATAGTTTTTTTTTTTTTAAAAGATATCTAAATCAATATAATAAGTTGGCAATAATATAGATATATAAAACGCGGATACGCCAGCGAAGACGTATATCGCACCTATATATAAAATAAGACTGACACTTCTCAAATTGCATTAATTTTGAGTTATGACTACTTTCTAATAATAAAAATTTCCTCTTTAGAATGCAAAGATGCCACCTAAGACTTGGACATTGAATTTTAAAGAAATGACGCTAAATTAGTTTTTTTTCCTGCATGYAACTATGAAAAAGTTTAACGTAAATGAGCATCAATTATTAACGAGTGTTTAAAGTTAAAATGTTAACGGTTTAATTTCATTCCAAATTTTAATTAAAATTATTTCAGGCGTTGTGCCTCCCTCCCCCGACAGAGCTCCGTCTCTCTGAGCAATCTCCCAATTCGAGTACTGAATTTCTTAGCTATATATAGGCTGACTACAAGGCCTTATCYACTCAGAATAGATGCATCAGATGTGTAAATAGTATGATAATATCTGTATTCAATACTAAACAGTAGATTGGCTATTACCACATTTTTTTTTGCAATATGCTTGTATCACATACTTTTATTTTTCTTAAAACAATTTACAATCTGTTAAAGCACATTTAATATTTACAATAAGATTATAATAACATGAGTATAACGTGGATAGGAGAAATCCCATTAGTAATACTTATTTTAGTAATTTAATAAGTCTCTACACCATTAAAGCTTTAGTATACGTGGTGAGTTTTTTGGAAGAGTGACGGTGGACATGTAGGGGAATTAAAGTATTTGCATACGTTTTTAAATTTTAGAGAAAACGATTGTACATTATTTTGGTTAGTTCAGTCGTACTTATATTTTTAAATCGTTATGAAGAGAAAGATTTGAAACATACCACGGGGCGTAAGTTGATAGTCTTAGAGCTATTGATTGAAATGACTGAATTGGTCGGATGTTTGGAGRCTCAGCAAGACCCCAGATTGCGATTCCAAAAGGCCAAACTGGTCTTATGATTAACTTATTTATAAGTAGTTTGTTTCGAAATTATATTGGGAATTTAATAGAGAACGGAGGAGATGAACTCTATATTGTTCGCTGATATTCTTTTTTTTTAAGTGGGAACCCCAGGATAGTCTTTTATCTATAGTATGCCTAAGTATTTACAGGAAAGGGATGGGGATGTTGTTTATGATTAATTGAGGGCACTTTTGGGAAGATTTTTAATGTGAAAGTGATTTGAGAAGATTTATCAGTATTAATTTTAATTTTCCATTTTTTGGCCGTATCACATGTGACTTTCTTAATTAGTGAATTTTCCTAATATATTATTAAAATATTAGACGTGTATTTCGTAAAATTAAAAATATCTCATTTAATCACATATACGAAATAATACAAACATGTGATTCAGTAATAATGAGTGTCAAATCAATCTGTTTGTTTTAAAACGTTTTTGTAATAATTTATAAAGATGATAATAATAATATGATAATAATA